TACCTGTTTTTCCATCCCCATTTGATCCTCACAACAGCCCTATGAGGGAGGTTAGGCTAAGAAGCAGCAACTGGCTCAAAGTCACCCAATGAGCTTCATGACTAAGTAGGACTTTGAACCCTAGTCTCCCATGTCCTAGCCGAGCCCTAAAACTCCTGCACCACGCAATGCTGATGAATTTTCATGCAGATTTTTAAAAGGAATATTTGCAAACTAAAGTTGGGCACAGTGAAGTGAAGGTCAGAAATGTGAGACACAGAAAAAGACAGATTTGGCCATCTCCAGTTGTAGTGGTTAGAATTGTAGAGTTTAAACATAACACATAACTTTCATTGGTATCCCAAAACAAATTTACATCTCTCTCTCTCTCTCTCTCTCTCTCTCTCTCTCTCTCTGTGTGTGTGTGTGTGTGTGTTGTGTAAGAGAGAGAGAGAGACTATATGAGACTGCCAGACTTATGATGTATTCTGAGGCACATAGCAGCATAAAACAAACTCCTGCTGCACTCACTCTCTAACACTCTACAGGTGATAAGAGACCTTACTGAAAAACTGCTTACTGTGGCGACATCATAGGATTCTGTACTACATTAACTCTTTCCATAGCCTTTTGGATGCACTCCCACAAGAATGTCAGACTAGAACTGTGGTGACCCGGGTTCAATCCCTACCTGGCCACGCAGCTCCGTGGTTGTCCTTTGGCTAGTCACTATCTCTCAGGCTACATTGTGGGCTTTTTTAAGGAGGGGAGACTGTAATGTTTGCTGTTCTGAACGCCTTGCAGGAAGAGCATGATAAATATGGTGACACTCCAAGAGCAGGTTCTGTTTTCCCACCCCCAACCCTTGAAACTCCTCCAGCACATTGGGAGCAGCAAGCTAAGAAGGCCATGTGGCACACACAGTTGTATTCTTCAAGTGGAACAGCAAATTGACTCATCAGGAAAGGCTGGGAGGCTCCCATCACTTCTCCCCAACTTCTCTCGCCTGAGACAGTTCCCTAATGGTAGGAACTATCCTGAAATCTGCCACTGCTATCAAAAGTGTCCCAAAGGCCTCTCATTTTGTTGGCCTGTGTATGGGACTAAAAGGGTGTGTGTGTGTTTGTTTTTGCTTAACATTAATGAAAATGGACTTCTCATATGTAAGGAAACACCTAAAATGCCAGCATTAATGTACTGAAGGCTATAAATTTTCATAGACCCTTAATACTCTTTTAGCCCTCTCATTTGGGTGCACTAATATTTGAACAACTTTTTAAAATATGGGATCACATATCATTCCTCCAAGAAGCTATGTAAAGAATCTTCATTTCCAAGTTTTGTATTGCGGCCAAAATAGAATATAATTCATTCCATTTTCTGGGCAATGTTTTAATTGGAACAGACAAGAGGTTTGCAGAGCTGTGAGACTGAGCTTCCATTTCTGATTTCTGATAACCTTCTCTGACAAAATAAATGGTTTCAGCAAATAAATGCAGGCAGGGCACTGACCTTTTCACACTCCTCAGTGTGATCAAATTCATTTATTTGAATCTAGTCATCGGACCGTTACAAAGTTTAAACAGTAAGAATATGAGGCTAGGCAACTTTTCAGCATTTGGCCAAGATCAATACCTCAATTCTGTGACCTGGGGTTCTGCAGAATAGACTACATTCCAAGTCAATTTGACTTAGTGGGGTCTCACTAATAGAAATTTTCTCTGTTTCTGTTTCTGTATACTATAGAATCATTAGCAGGAGTTCCAAGGGCATTTCCACACAAGGTTTAAGGGGGGGGGGAATTCTACTTTGTCCCCACACAGAAGCTCTATTCAAGCATTTGTTTCTAAATACATGGGACTAGGCATGAGTGGAACTGTCCCCAGTCCCTTGATGCGATCACACACACTAGCAATGTCCCACAACACACAATTAATCATCCAGCTTCCATATAAGCCAAGGTTTCTACCAGTCAAGGTTCTTGTCCCTTTAGAGCAGGAGTGGGGAACTGGTGACCCTTCAGAGGCTCTTGGACTCTGCTTTCTGGGAGTGATGGGAGTTGTAGGGCCACAGGTTTCCCACCTCTGCCAAGAGGAAATATTACTACATTCATTGAAGCAGCTCCCTGGAGAACTGAGCTGATTGTGCTTTGGATGGGGAATGTTGCTGGTGTGCATGTTAAGTTGTTTTAAATTGTTTTTAATATTGTGTTTTAATATTGAAACCCACCCTGGGACCTTAGGAAGAAGGCCAGGAAACAAATACATCATCATCATTAAAGGGCTAGTCCGGCATGTTTCCACTCGTTCCTTGTTGTATCTGGAAGTGAATGTGACTATTGCTTCTAAGACATGGAAGCCACACAGTGCCTATGTGCAATGTGACCCCATTTTCCATCCGTCAACATACCGGTAGTAGACAAAGTGAATCCTGGCAACATACATGTCTGGACTGATGCTATAAGAATGATTTCAGGCTTGAATGTTCTCTCTGTCCTGCTCTCTTCTCCTTGCTATTTCACAAGTCCCAGCAAAGTGCAATCTGTGTGTCTTATGTGAAAAAGACTGATAGCCGGAATCAGCCATGTTTCCCCATCTTTCTTTGCAGAAGTGTTGAGCCTGTTGAGAGACATGAAAACTAGTGTGGTGTCTTTTCATGTGTTGTCCCAATGCAGAAAATGTGTTCTGTTTTCTTGGACTGAGAACCAAGGCACACATTCCCAATTCACAGCACAACATTTTGTACATGCATGTGGCATGTCCTGTTAGGAACTTCTGCTGCTCTGCTGGAAGTAGGTGAGACTGGAACTAGATACAGCATAGAAGCCATGGGATCCCGAAACTGGTAATTTTCACTGACCATGGAGGTGGGCACAGGGACATTTGGAGAGAAGCAGCAGTGGGCTGGAAGAGAGTTCTTAATCCTTCAGCTTCCTTGAGCAGCTCCCCTTCTCTGTTGAATTTTAGCTGGGCTCTGCTTGGACAGAATATTGGCTTGGGGTGGTGCCTCGGGGGGGGGGGGGTTGAAAAGGGAAAGTGGTGGGTGTGGGAAAGGTCATGGCAACTTCCCTTCATTCAATTGCTTCTTTTCCATGATCCCTCCCTTCCACATTCACCAGTAAATCTGGGTTGGGAATCTTGGGTAGCGCCTGGGTTTCTGCTTCAGAATTCTACAAAAAAAATCTGTTGTGCAATTCAGATTCATGCAGATGGAATTTAGGGGAGGAAACTCCAAGCGCATTTTGGATGTTGTTTTCAGCATTAATGAATTTTCTCTATCATGCCATTTTTAAAGATATTTGTACCTCATTCAACATGGTGCAATTAGTGCTTATCGTTACCTTGAACACAATTCATTGTATTTGGAATGTTAACAGATTGACAAATAAATTATTGCAGGAATGCATATTTTGCGAGTAATTATTTGTCTGTAATTATTTTGGTGGATTGTGATATTATATGGTGATTAATATAAGAGCAATGGAGCCCTGGTTTTCTGGTGTCACCATCAATCCTGTTTTTATTGCATAAACCTTAATATTAACTGTCTCGATTCAAAATGGGTTTGCACTTTCCAATAACTTTAGAGTTGTCTGAGAGCCCTCTGAAAGATCAGAAAGAACCCACCTATTAAAAATCAAGATGAAGGAAAGCAATGCCAAGGAAGACATCAGTCAGGGGTTAGGCAGGATGACCCTCAGGTCCTTTCCAACTATGAGTCTATGGTTGCCCTGGTTTCACCACACTGTTGTTGTTGTTGCTGTTCCGATTTATTCCTCATTTACAGCAGTGAAAAGCAATCATCCTCAGGCCCAGGAATCCGTGTAACCTCAAGATAATAAAAACAACTGAAGTAGAGGAACTAGATATATACAACAGATTTGAGAGAGGGATATCAGCGCTAATGCAACAGTAGTAGCATACACAACATTACTCATGGAGAAGTTCAGGAACATGATTTGGGGGGAAATTAAGATTCCATCCCACGCTTGAGCAAGTTTATGGAGCTGTTTCAAAGACTGGAACAATGCCTTTCAGCTCTGTAATTTCTGTTTTGATTTCTGCTTTAAAAGACTTGGCTGCTCTGTTCCTGCCACCTGCAGAAAGCAACCTGCAAGGCTGTAATGATAACAAAAGCAAGAACAGAACGGAGAATCAGAAAGCTCCATGAAATGCAAACCTGTAGGAAATGTGTCACCACCAGATTTAACCCTAACCCTCCACACCACCCCTGAGGCTGCCTTTCAAAAGCATTCCTGCTTCTTGTTGGCCAACTGCAGACTTTCAGTATTTGGGGGAGGGATTCAATCGCACACAGGAAAGTCAGCTTCGTGCAACTGAAATGGCCACTCTAGCACAAGAAGTCCACTTTGCAGGGGAAAGTGGACTTTTGCAGTTAGAAAAATAGTGGAGAAATGCACTGAAAAGTGTGGGGTAAATTAATGTTCAACAGGAAGACATGTAACCTTCTCACAAACAAATCAGAGCATAAGCGATGTTTCCAGAATGCCAGCAAGGGCCCTCATCTCCTTCCAGCCTTCCTTCCCTTCCATATGATCTGTTTATTGAGCATTCATCCTAATTTACTTGAACAAGGCTTACATGGAGGTCACACTAACTAAACGTCACCAAGGGTTCAGCTGCTCCACAAGATTTGGAGGGTGGGGATTGCAGTCCATGAGCATTAGTCGTTGGATTATTATTATTATTAAAATATTTGAGGGGGCCAGGTCCTCCCTCACAAGGTTGACGGGTATTGCCATTCAAATGGTGTGTGTGCACCACATCATGTGATCAATTATGCAGGGTGGGGCATGGCTGCCCCCCCATATTTTATTCAAGTTGGCACCCCTGACACCACACTGTTTTTTTGTTGATTGTTAGGCACATTTATTGCCTATTTTGATACAGAAGAATGGGGTGTAGATATTCTAAACAATTAACATTATGTATTTATATCAACTGAGCCTCACCTGCAATTTGAAGTGTAACAGCCCAGACCACTTACCAATTCAGTGACAACTAGGCCTAAATCAATCTACTTTAGTGTTTATCAGCGACTCAGATGATAGTATCACTGTTCCGTGTTTATTGGCTGCGTGCCTCCTAAGCCAAATGTTCCAAAGGCTGTCATCTTTCATGATTTATTCCTTGAGAAAGATACTAGGGAATCCAGAATGTTACTCCAGCATCAGGAATGCTCAGTTTCCCTAGAGAATCATAAAATGTTAGAGTCAATGCTACTTTTTGGAGGTCTGAAACAGGACATAGGTTAAACAACCCAATTTTCTAATTGTGTTTGTATGTGCACACAGAGAGAGACATCTATAGTTTCCCTGAGCAAAGCCCCTTTGAGATATTTAATTATGTTCATAGCTCTCCCACTGAAACCAGTGGGAATGAAAAACCATTTATTCTGTTTGATAGCTGCAGACTGGGCACATGACTGCACATTTGACAGTTCTAGAACAATTTTCAAAATCATAAAGAATTTGTCTCCTGAACAGAAGGCATTTACTCATTATTTCTGTAGCACTTTTCAGCATGTGCATGCTTGAACATTCCCATGTCATCGATTTGATATATGTTTCACATGTACTGTCTGCAAGGCATTGGGATTGGTTATTCTCTTTTGAAATGACAAAACGATGCAAAACACCCACACCCTCCAAAAAAGAATATTGAACACATAGGATTGTATCCAATATAGTGCTGCTAAGCAGCAATGGAGCACATCTCCATGCTGCCTGGGGCTGGTGTGCATGTGTGTGCGTGCACCGGGGTGGGGTGGGGCAAGGGGCAGAGGACTGTGACCCCCCAGCCCCTGTGGCCGCATGGGTGACACCAGCCTGAAGCAGCATGGCTGTTGCACCCTTCTTGCACCAGCCTCCCTGGATCGAAACCTTGAAGGCCTCTTGAGTAGTTTAGTTTATTCTTCTTAATATTATCTTTTGACCTCATCTAATTGGTCTGAATTGCTTTTATTTTTTGGAGAAGTTGCTGCTTCAATGGCGAGCAGTTTGCTGTGGGTCTCAATTGCGCCATGTAACTGCGCTCAGTCTCAGAGGTCTCATGCTCCCTCTGGAGCTTTGGGAGTTCCTAGAGTGTGTCCTTCAACACTGCCGGACCTTTCAGAACCCAAACTTTTCCTTTTGGGCTTTTTAGAGAAAGTGCTTTGCCTGTGCTCCCTTCCTGCCCCCTCACAGCAATCGGACAACCCAGGGCAAGCGCTCTCCATCGTCTGCCATTACCCACAGCCAACCCGGAAGTTGCCTCCATACTTATTCAAGTCTATACCATACATTTATACCATTTAATTGGCTCAATTAAAAGGGATTAAAGCACATCAACAAAATAAACTTTTTGGCAGTTAGGAAAGTGACAGGGAAATGATCTGAAAAGTGAGATGAATGGATACTAATAATATTCAATCAGCCCACAATCAAATTAGGCTGAATGCTCATTGTTGTATAACCTTCCCCCAAACCAAATGCTCAAAGAGACTAGACATAGTCTAACCTCTATGTAAACTTTGTGCAAGTAAATCAGGATGAGCGATATGTGGGGGGGGGGGTCACCTGGAAAAGTCCGTAACACTTCTCAATTTGTCTGAGCCCTACCTAAAACTTTAAAATGTGGTACATGTTGGCTTAAACCAAGAACTGCCTTCACTGTACAAACCATCAGCAAAGGGTTTGCTTGTGTCCCTTTTGCCCCTGAGTTGTAATTGAATGAGGAAGGGGATGTAGGAGAAATTTGCAATGTGCGCTAGCACAGCTGCTCCCTCTTAAAAAAATTATTAGGAGGATAGCTGAGAATCAGTATATGACTGAGTACTGGGAAGCAGCAAGAACAGTTACTTTAAAACTCATAAACTGTATAGGAAGACTATGAAAAACCCAAATGTGTCAACTAACGAAAAGGGAAAAAAGAATACATATTACATGAATCCAGATGCCTCAATGGCCTTTGCCAGGAATCAGTATTTCAGGAGTTTATTGTACTGCTATCTTTACAGACTTCTATAACTTTGCATTAGCTTTTTACTGCCTGATCGTATTCTGCAGAATATTTGCATGACAGCTATCTCAAAATATGTGCAGCTAAATGGAAGGATAAGGCTTCTGCGCCAATCGTTTCATTTATAGCATGTCGGGAGTATCTTCAGGCATCATCAGGGGAATACTTGCCTATAAATCTCCTTGAAAACTGTAGTTATATATGGGCTAGGGAACGTTTACTGGGGATCCAGATAACTCATAAAAGTCACATTGTAAATCCTGGTGCTTCTCAGCAAGAGACCTGTGTGTTAAGTACACTATGTATGGTATGTATAGCACCCAGGCTGTATTTTGCTAAGCCCTTGTTCTTCAAGGAGTAGCCCAAGGGCACCATCAGTCCCTCCAAGCTTCTTCCACTTCATTTCCCTTCGTTCATATATATATATAGAGAGAGAGAGAGAGAGAGAGAGAGCGCACTCCTGGAAGGATGCATTCTTGCAGCAGCATGAGAGTTAACAGTATGCAGGGCAGATATGAAAGGTGCAAAAGTAGGATGTTAAACATATAAATTGAAGGCATTTGCAGATGATGTAGTTCTTACATTAGAGGAACCAGGGAGCAGCATACACAAGTGATTGAAGAAATGAATAATTTAATAAAGTAGCAGGATTTAAGATAAATAAATTGAAAACCAAGATGTTGGTTAAAAACATGGATGTGTAGATGAAAAAGGATTTAGAATTACTGAGTGGATGGAAGGTGGATAAAAAGGTGAAGTATTTAGGATTGTGGCTGACAACTAAGAACCCCAATATATTTCAAGATAACTATGGAAAGAAGTTTAAAAATGACTTAGAAATATGGGAGAGAATGACATCAGGGTTGAAATTAACAGCCTGTTACGATCTGAAAGAAAATTACATGAAAATGATCTATAGATGTTACCTGACACCAAGCAAATTAGCAAAAATGTATAAGTCAGAGTCAAGTAAATGTTGAAAATGTAAAAAGGAACTTTTTATCCTATGTGGTGGACCTGTAGAGTAGTCAAGGAATATTGGGAAATGATTCATAATGAGCTGAAAAATATATTTAAAACAGGTATTCCTAAGAAGCCAAAGGCTTTTCTTTTGGGTATAACAGGTCCAGATGTAACCATTAAAGAAATGAATCTATTCTTGTATGAGACCACCACTGCAAGAATGTTATATGTCCAAAGATGGTGTGAAAATGCTGTACCTGCAAAGGAAGAAGAGCACATGAAATTGATGGAGTATGCAGAATTAGCAAATCTAACAAATAAAATTAGAGAAGAAGAAGAGACCATATTTAAAGAGGATTGGAAACCATTTGTAGATTATTTGAAAAACTATTGTAAAAGTGTTAAGACACTAGTCAGTTTGGAGCGAGCTCAGCACTTTAAAATTGTATGGAAGTAAATACAGAGACAAGCAGGAGTGTGTTAAAATAGAGCCATTAATTTAAAGAAACCATGGAAGGATGGATGGAAAGTCAATTATCTGTATTTTTTTCTTTCTTTTTATATCTGTTATGTTTGTATTTTGAAAAAAATATAAATAAAAAAGATTTTTAAAAGTATGCAGGGCAAGTAATTGCATCGTGCTTTGTCTTTGAAGGTTTGAAGGGCCCCCCGGTGAGCCCCAAAGAGATTGCCTCACAGCAGTGGCGTAGCGTGGGTTGTCAGCACCCGGGGCAAGGCAAGTAATTTGCGCCCCCTAACCCGTGGATTTGCGCCCCCTAACCTGTGGATTTGCCCTAACCCCAGATGTTGCGCCCGGTGCGGCCGGCCCCCCCTGCACCCCCCACGCTACACCACTGCCTCACAGCACTGGTGGGCAGCAGTCTTCAGAGGCTAAGAGCTACTGTTTTAAATTCCCACAGTGCCCCAGATTTTGCTGCATCAGGGGCATTGCAGGAAAATTTATATAATGGCTGCCAGACCCAGCTGATAGGAGCACTGGAGGAAAATTAAAAAGCTGGGCTAGAATAGGTGTATCTTGTTGCAGTCATCTAAACTGTGTTCTTTAATCCTCTGTTTGAGAGATGATTCACCTCTAACATCCCGCTGGATTATCTTCACAGAAGTCCATAGCCTTTACCTTGACTGCTGAAAGAAAAAGGAGAAAATTGTTGAGATGAATGACCTGTCTCTTGTAAGTAGCATGAACAAAAAGTACTCCATGATACAGCACTTACAATTTTCAGAATATGTGTATGTATTTGAGCTGATACATAATTAAGAGGGGGGGGGAACCCTCAAGCAATTTTATTTACTTCAATCTGCTGGTTTTACTGACATGTATAAAACATGGAATTATGTTTTATACATGTCAGTAAAAACATTATGGCCTTATTTGTCAGGCCTTTGGTCATATCATAAAAAGATGCTGCTGGATCCAGCCCGTAGCCCATCTATTCCAACAAATGTCTCTTGAAAGTCCAAAAGCAGGATTTGAGTTCAACAGCACCCTGCCTTCTGTGGTTTCCAGCAGCTCACATACAGAAGCATCGCTGCCTCCAGCAGTGGACTTGGAACTTATCCCTCAGGGCTAACAACCATGTAGCTCCTGGTCCAGCTCCCTCAGTAATGTCAGTCTTGTCTGGCCTTGGCTGCACCTGGTATCAGGCGGGGTATCTCCCAAACTGACCTGGAAAGGCCAGGAATTGAACCTGAGTCCTTCTGCATGAAAAGCAGATGCTCTACCCCTGATCCACACCCTTTCCTCATCAGATACAGTGGTACCTCGCAAGACGAATGCCTTGCAAGACAAAAAACGCGCAAGACAAAAGAGTTTTCCATTTTTTGAGTCGTTCCGCAAGACAAATTTCCCTATGGGCTTGCTTTGCAAGACGAAACGTCTTGCGAGTTCTTGCGAGTTTGTTTCCTTTTTCTTAAAGCCGCTAAGCCGTTAATAGCCGCTAAGCCGCTAATAGCCATGCTTCGCAAGACGAAAAAAACCGCAAGACGAAGAGACTCGCGGAACGGATTAATTTCGTCTTGCGAGGCACCACTGTATGTATCCCAACAGATATTCATCCCAATTGCTAAATATGTAGTATGTACAGACCTTCGAATACCAGTAGCTGGTGGACAATTGAGGAAAAGTGTAGCTTGTGAGCTTCCCAGAGGCAACTGGCTGGTAGCCCTTGGAGACAGGATGCCACATCCAACAAGGCAAAGTCATTCCAGGGAGGGGGAAGGGTAAATGTTGGGCAGGAGATTTGCACATCTATACTGCTGCTCAGGTGTGCCAACTCCAGGGGGCCAAAAGTACCTCAGACCCCTCAATATTTGTTTTAATGGGGGTGAGCTCCCTCAATCTTGAGGTGTCCGCATTGCACATTGCAGGTTCAGTGGCCAGCTCCTCCAGAGCCCCCTTGCCTCCTCTGGAACACGCATGTTGTCACACATGCATGATTTAAGATGCATGTGGTGTCATACTAACATGACATGCGTGGTGCACACCAGCTGCCGCCCCCAGTCTTGGGGGCAACTTGACGCCTCTGCTGCTGCTTCATGCTCCCCCACACCACCCCCGGAAGCACTGTGCCATCTGCAGTGTGCTGAGTGAGACCATATGAGGAACGGCTAAGGGAGCTGGGCATGTTTAGCCTCTAGAAGAGGAGGTTAAGGGGTGATATGATAGCCATGTTCAAATATATAAAAGGATGTCACATAGAGGAGGGAGAAAGGTTGTTTTCTGCTGCTCCAGAGAAGCGGACACGGAGCAATGGATCCAAACTACAAGAAAGAAGATTCCACCTAAACATTAGGAAGAACTTCCTGACAGTAAGAGCTGTTCGACAGTGGAATTTGCTGCCAAGGAGTGTGGTGGAGTCTCCTTCTTTGGAGGTCTTTAAGCAGAGGCTTGACAACCATATGTCAGGAGTGCTCTGATGGTGTTTCCTGCTTGGCAGGGGGTTGGACTCGATGGCCCTTGTGGTCTCTTCCAACTCTATGATTCTATGATTCTATGATTCTATAAGTCCTATCATCCCTGACCCCTACTGGGCAACAACAGAAATGGTCATTTTGCTCCATAAATTTATTTCTTTTCCCCCAGCATATGATTGCATCTAACTATTAGGCTACACTGCTCTCCTGGGCTCTCTCTTGAGGAGGAGTTGTTCTTTATTGTTCCTCCTGCAGTTTCAGTGAAGAACAGTGGGCGGCGGATGAGGCTGCATTGTCAAGATGATGAAGGTGGTGATGGTGGTGATTAGAATTAGATTATTATTATTTTTGCCTGCCCTTTACTATAAGGTAACTTAGAACAATTTAAAAATACAATGTTGAAACAATTTATAGAAACACTCATGATTTTGTTGTTTAGAAGTAAGGTCTTAATTGTCTCTTTTTATGAAGAGTCCCTGGGGAGTTTAAAATTGAACAGTGTGCCATAAATATTGCAAACACACCTACAACAGTAACAGTACATTCTGGATAATATTGTTCTATCTGCTGTAGTTTGGGGCACTTTATGATTAGTAATCCCACCTCAATATTCCCAGGGCTTTGGCTGAAGTTGCCAAACACTATTTTCCAAGTTGGCTGTCATGTCTTAAATAATGGAGGATCATATCCAATGTTCTTCTGGCCACTGAAATTAATGCATCATTACTTTTATCCCTAGGGTTCTGAATACCTTCCTTTACAGCTAACAACCGGCCAACCTAAATTTAGATGAAAGCTCTCCTTAGCAAATGGCAAGGTCAGAGCCAACAGAATGCATATACAGTACATTCAATGTGAATCATAACATAAGAAGAATAGCTAAACTTTCCCTGGAGTACAACCTCTTCCTAGTATTAAAACTAGTCAGTTACTCTGTTAAAAAACAGTGTAATATTTAAACAGTCGGTTACTCTGTCTAAAAAAATGTGAACAATTGTCATTTGCATGCCAAGGCCTCCATGCTTCAAAGTTCCCAGGAGGACAATAAACACCGACACAAAGTATTTTGGTTTATGGGTTCAAATAGGCCACAACCTTCTTGGTTACAGATGTGAGCTGTTTGGCTTAGCCATTGGGGTGAGACCAAGCTATAGCTTGACTCCTGTCCATCTGCAGAGAGTCTATCTAAGGGTAAACAACTGATAGGGGGCACCCTATGACTTACATCAAATAGGGGCACCCAGGGGGTCCCCACATAGGCTGTGACATGGTCCTAGCCCACGTCCAGGCATCGGACAGGATTCACACCCCAGATCCCTTTAGCAGGATACTCTTACTGAGAAGGGGCAGGTGAAGTCTGCAACCTCCCCTCCGTCCAAACAAAGGCTTACCCAATGCCTAACCTACACAAAGTTGTGACAATTGCTACCAGGTACGTGAAAACCAAATGGCCGGTGTCAATTTGCCAAGTGGAAAAATTCCTACCTGGCCACAACAATATGGTGAACAACAATTGTCCATAGCCAGGTCATATCTGAGCAAAGCATGAAAAGAGGGTGGGTGGGGAGGGTGACCTGGCATTAGGGCGAGTGAGAGGGTGCCGCCAGTCGTGCCGTAGTTAAATCTCCTGCAACAACACCCCCTCTTGGTGCTGACTGGCTGGGGGCCGCCCCACAAGGCGCGGTTCCCCCAGCAACAATGACGCCACCAGCGTGACGTGGAAGAGAGGTGGCAACTCTCTGCCCCTAAGAGATTTATTCACTTTTAGAGATTCTGAAGAATGACAGATCTAACCACTCAGATTTCTTAAAAAATAATAATAACAGCCACAAGGCATTCTATGGACAAAATAAGCCACAGACCTAAGGGCGTTTTCCCTTTGCATAATTCCTTTTGGGAGGAGTGAGGAGCCCACTCTCTTTGTTGTATTAGTATTTTGTACAGTACTATGATGGAGTGAGTTCCTGTTCCTGTTATTGTTAAAATGATTGTACTTGGAATGCTTATTATATTTGCTTGACATTAACCGGTACATTTTAATAACAGCTTATTTTATAATCATTTAAAATGTTAAAATGTTTAAGTTATAAAAAGGAATTATTTGGATTGTCATATGAAGTTTTGAAATGATCTAGCACTGGGGTGTTATTGTAATGCTATATTGATTTGCATTTAGTGTGTTGTGTTGTGGCTTTGGGCAAATATTTACACAGAAAAGTGTCATACAAGTGGAAAGTAATTTACCAGAGGCAGGTACCAGAAATCTGGGACAGCTGGAGCATCTGGTATGGAGTTAGGATGGGCAAGAAATCAGTTCACTATTAAGGATGAAGCTACCAAATGCACTTTCTCTGGAACTCTATGCGAAGTGATAACTTGTCATTCTTCACTATTTGCACCTCTCCACATTTTTCAATGCAGTTCTCCAGCCAAGTAATGTGTACAAATATGCACATATTAGAGTGTGCATGACAATGCATATGTTAAAACAAAAAAAATTCCTTCCAGTAGCACCTTAAAGACCAACTAAGTTAGTTCTTGGTATGAGCTTTCGTGTGCATGCACACTTCTTCAGATACCTGAGCACACGAAAGCTCATACCAAGAACTAACTTAGTTGGTCTTTAAGGTGCTACTGGAAGGAATTTTTTTTGTTTTGACTATGGCAGACCAACACGGCTACCTATCTGTAAATGCATATGTTAGTTTTTGTTTTGTTTTTTTAAAAAGTACAATAGTATTTCCCGCTTTACAAAAATGTGTAATATAAGCAAAATTGCATATAAAGATGCACAAGTTGCCCAAAAAATATGAATGGAATTTAAGATTGGAAAAATGAGAATCTGAGAGAACCAAAATTGAAAGTGTCACCCATTCTGAGTATAGAAATAGAAAGTCAAAAGCTGCCTTATAGCTCATCACCAATCTATTTGCCCATGTCGCTCCAAGGCATCCCCAGGATCAGGAGTGTAGGGAAGGGGAAACAGGATGGCATGGGGTGGGGCTGAGAGTAGGGGAAGAGAGTCTGGAGGAAGCGGGTCTTTCCCTCTCCCAGGATAGAGCTGCCCCAGCTGGGGAAGCAGGACTCCCATCTCCCCCCTTCCCTCTTGGGGAAAAGAGCAATTCTGGGAGGGACTCAGCCAAACTCTAGGGGTGGAACCAGAGTCAGAAGGGGACCCAGAACCAGTGACATATCTAGAAACACACAGATCT